GTTCCCCCACTGCCGATAGTGGCTCTGAAGCACTATCAGCGGCGGCGGGGGACCTCCGAGAGGCCTCCGGCAGCGACAGCGCCGAAGCCCTCAGAGTCCTCCGGCAGCCTCGATGGCTGCAGCAGGGGACCTCCGAGAGGCCTCTGGCAGCCGCACCGAAGACTTCGGGGTCCTCAGACACCAGCGATGGCGGCAGCGGGGGACCCCTTGAAGACTTAAAAAAAGTGCTTTTTAAAATATTTATTTTTGATTTTGTGTGTGTGTGTGGGGGGGTTGGGCCAGATACGGATTGATAGGTTTTCAATGCATTCCTATGGGGAATGCATTTTCGACCTACGTACTTTTCGACCTACGGACTCCGTTCCAATACAGATTAATTCCGTAAGTCGAGACCCCACTTGTAACAGGGATGTTGTCTCCAAAAGGTTTGTTCTTCTTTTCAAGTTGCTTTGGTAGAGGGGGTTTAGAATGAAAGGGAAAGGGTGCTTAAACCTGTCCCAACCTCTTTTTCTTTCTTTCCAAATAACAATGGGCAGCTTCCTGTCTCAAGTTTTTCAAAATGTGGTTGAAAATAGTTGCCATCTTGTGATAGCTTAAAAACAGGCATAACCTTTTGTGGATTACTGCCCAATTTATCCATGAAAATGTATGCCAAACAACTGATGTAATTTAAAATCCGGTTGTTTATTCCAACTAATCAATGGAAATTATATAAGTGCTGACTTAACAAAGTCCTAATTGAATCAGTTGAACTGTCTTATGAAGGACTAACAGTTGATACAGTCATGTGAAAAAGAAAGTACACTGTCTTTGAATTCTATGACTCTACATATCAGGACATAATAAAAATCAACCAGTCCTTACCAGGTCTGAAAATTAGGTAAATATAACCTCAGATGAACAACAGCACATAACATATTACACTGTGTCATGATTTATTTTACAAATATAAAGCCAAAAAAATGGAGAAGCCATGTGTGAAAACTAAGTACAGTGGTGCCTCGCTTAGCGATTGCTTTGTTTAACGAAGAATTCACTTAACGATGTGTTTCTTAGAGGAATTTTCCACATCATTTAACGATGTTCTCTACGGGGGATTTTCACTTAATGATCTCTGTTTTCGCTCATTTTTAAGTGTCTTAAAATGTTTGAAACCTCTTTTAAATGCTTGAAATCGGTAGTCCCCCTTGTGAAACATGTGCAAACTTAATTTGGCTCTGTTCTGAGTCTTCGTTAATTTTTGGTGATTTTTTGTTTTTCCCCTTTAAATCAATGGCCCAGTCAAAGCCCAGACTTTGTTCAACCTGGTTGCAATACTGTGGTGGGACCGTAAGAGAGCTGTGCATAAACCTCAGTGAACTGGCACAACCTTGTAAAGACGAGTGGGCCAAAACTCCTCCACCATGATGTGAGAGATTGATGAAGTCATTCAGAAAACAATTACTTCAAGTTATTGCTGCGAAGGTTCTACAAGCTGTTGAATCATAAGGTGAACTTAGTTTTTCTACACAAGGCCTCTCCATCTTGGCTTTTTTTTTTTTTTGGTAAAATAAATCATGAAATTGATGTAATATGTCATGTGTTGTTGTTAATCTAAGGTTATATTTACCTAATTTTCAGATCTGCTGAGCTACAGATAATTTTTATTATGTCCTGATACATAAAACCAAAGACTTCAAAGAGGGTGTGCTTTCTTTTCCACGTGTCTGTAGATATATAGGCTGTTGAAATAAGAAACATGTTCTTGTAAAATTTGTATTTAGTTGCATCATTTTCTTTTCCTCCAGTTAATTCCTTCTTTTCCCAAATGCCAAAGTGATTGCCGAAGATACTCAGATTATCAAGTAATGTGTAGAGAAGCATCAAGCAACGGTATGTTCAAGTCTCTAATTTAATACAATGAGTAAACAGTAAAATCTGTACACGTTGGTGTGGTGCCGTTGCTAGAGCAGGTGTGGATAACTTTGTTGGGTTCAGGAGCTAATTTTGCTCCCATCTGAGACCTCGCTGGATCAGATATGCACTCTGATCCCAAGGCACCGTTTTTTCAGAGTGGAAATGGCAGTGCACCTTGAAGGAGGGTGGCATGTGATTAAATGTTTACAACCTACTTCAGCCTGGATTTTTAGACAATTTTGTTTTAAGAAACAGAAATTGATGGTAGTTATTTCACTTCTATTTTAATTTTTTTTAGTTATGCAAACATCCAACCTAAACAACATAAACCTAACACCAGATTAACACCACTTCCATTTTTTAAAATGCTATTTTCAGCCTGAAAAGACCTGCCTCTTTTGAAATAGCAATCAAACAGCCAGTGATGCCTGCTGGTGGCTTCTAGCCATCCAACTAGCCATTTTAGTGCCTGCAAAGCAATGTTCAGCTTGATGGGTTTCAGAAGGGGAGCTGGGGAGACATACTGTGGGGAGACATGCACAGGCCACCTTTTCTCCTTCCCCGAGTGGGGGTGTTGTAGGACTATGAGGAGGAGAGTGAAGCCCCTGCTGAACCATGTAGCTCACTGGGTAGTTTCATTGGTAGGTTAGATTCAAACTCTACTTGGTCTGGTGTTTTCTTCTCACAGCAGCAAACAGTATTCTCCTGGGACAAGCAAGATATCAGGCTCTCACATCTGGATCTCAGAGGTCTAACGCCTCTGAACTTGAAGGTTCCACTTACTTGGCAGAACTAGGTTGAGACTGAACAACCTTCACTTAATTACGTTTCCAGCTCTTCCTCTTCTGCTTTATGGTTTTAGAGCACAATGTGCTGCTAGCCATAGTGAAACCTATCCAGTAAAATGGCTTAAGCTAGCCCTTCAAGACCAAAGTGGCCATACAAATCTGGGATTATTTTTGACCAGAGTGGTTTATAAAATCAGCAATTTTTAAAACTAAATCACGTAACATAAATCATTTGTTTCTTTTTCTTTCCTTTTTTTAAAACTTAAGATGGTGCTGTGTAAGTGAATCTGAATTTTTCGGGTCAGATTACGGTGTGTGTGTGTGTGTGTGTGTGTGTGTGTGTGTGTGTGTGTGTGTGTGTGTGTGTGTGTGTGTGTGTGTGTGTGTGTGTGTGTGTGTGTGAGTGTGTGTGTGTGTGTGTGTATGTAAAGTGTGTGTGTGTGTGTGAGAGAGAGAGAGAGAGAGAGAGAGAGAGAGAGAGAAAAGTGGTCTTCACATTACCACATAGCCCTTTGTAGACATGCTCCTTTGAGTAGCTCTTTGGGCCGAAGGTCCCAGAGATTTACCAGAGTTGAGCTGTGTGGCACCTGCCTATCCCTCACAGGGAAAATAGCAGCAGCAGCCAAGCAGGAACAACCAGTAAGGGCTGCGTTAAAAGATGTGAAAGAACAAAGAAAACATTACAGTACTTACCAGCAAGACAAATCCCCAGAAGTGAGAATACCTTGAATGAGGATGGACAAACGAGTGGGGAGATGTACTGTTGTTCACAAATTGGAACTGTGGTGGTGTGAATACAATATTAGGAGTGAATTTATAAGAAACTTATTAAGGGGTCAGTTTGAGGATCTGTTGGGAAAATTTCAAGACCCAGAGATGGGCAATTTGAAACCAAATGCTCAGTGTGCTTTCAGCACAAAACTAATACAAGACTGACGTCTAGTGGACTTAGCAGTAAAATTTCTTAACCAAATTTGGCAAATAAACTTTAAATAGTCTTCAGGATGGCAGTTCTAAAGGCCAGTGCTAAAATAACTGAGCCACCTAAATCACCTGCTGAGATAATACAACCAGATTTAGAAGCACTTTTGAGCAGTTTTGAAAAAAGGGTGGACTCTAAATTTCAGAATTTGCAGAACCAGCTTAAGAACTTTATAATAGAAATTGCTGGAGACATTTAAAAAATCTACAAGAGTCCACCGGACAACTAAAAGACCAGACTTCAATTGAAAAAACTAGAACAGAAACCATGGAAGCTAAAGCGGAAGTAATGGATAAACAAATGATTAGTCCAATCAATCAACTTGACTTGCTTGAATAGAAAGCTAAAGAACATATACTGAGATTCAGGCAATACCAGAGATCCTAAAGGAGCAGACTAGAGAAACAATGGTATTTGAATTAACAAAATTTCTGCAAAAAGATAAAGACAATGGAGGGATGCTGAAATAGATAAAGTATTTGGAGTCAACTCATACTATGCCACTCAGAACGAGGTGCCAAGCGCTATACTGATTCACTCTGAGAAGAAAAATACGAGAGACAGAATTCTGCAACTGAACTCCAAGAATAAACTCAAAATTGATAATAAGGACCTTATTGTTCTAAAAGAAATACCCCCCAGAATTTTTCAGAAAACAAAGGATTATGTCTTCCTTGTTCAAAAGTTGAAACAAAATAATATAACCAGATGGAAAGAACTTGGAAGGAGTCAGATTCAAATACCAACAGAGGAGCCGTAGAATATTTACAGTGCAGGAAGCAAAGAAATTTTTGGAAACACTGGATGTGCAAGGACAAGACTCATGGAAGGAAGGATCCAGTTTGACTTTTCTATCTCTTGAGATATAATGGATTGCAAGTGCTCATAATGGAATATAAATATGGCAAATTCCCCCCAAAAGAAGGAAGTTATTTTACCATTTGAAAAAACAAATAGGACATTATCTGTTTGCAAGAGACTTACATTAAGAAGTGGGATAGAAAATACTTAATTCAAAATAGTTTGGGTCATGAATTTATTGCAGCTAGTGGTAATAAAACTGGTGTTGTACATTAATGAACAATTAAAGCCAGAGTTAATAATCTCAAATGAACAAGGGAGATTTGTGAGGGCAGAGATCTAATTTAATATGGTCAAAACTCTGGTCTTGGAAATATATGTACCCAATGAGGAGAAAGGGTACTTTTATCTGATGGATACACTGTTGATTTACCATACATCAACTTGAGCAAAGCTTACATCCAGGGCAAACATATCAGATTTGGGTCAATATGTTTTTATAAAGTGACTAGAAAAGTCATATCAATTAGAGTGTAAAATTAAAAATAAAGAGGAGGTGGATAAGAAAATCATGTGAATAAAAACACCTTTAAACTTAAAAATATTACAGCAATGACTCTCAATGTTAACAGAAATGGTTAAAAAATGAAACTATGCCAAGTAAAGACATTTTGAACAAGCTAATAAACCGAGGAAATGGCTGGTATATAGAATAAGAAAAGAGAGGGAAAAGTGGTTTTTAAAACTGCATGACAAAGTGCTAGTTGTCACAGATAAAAGAGGCATTCAAAGAATAATATACAACTATTACTCCCATCTTTATAAGAACCAGGGGACCCTGATAGCCAAAATAGAAGAATGTATTATTTATTTTTGTTTTTGTTTTTATTTTTTCCCCTTAAATTTTTAATTTTATTAACATCCATAGTATGACAATACAAGTTAGAATTGTAGTACAATACTATCAATTGCTTACATATTCTTTCTGTAGATTGTCTTTCTTTATACATCCACTAGTTGTTAATATTAATTCTTTTTAAAATATTACATGCCAGCAATCCAAATTACTTCCCATACCCCATATCATGGGAAGAAGACTATATTAGAAATAAGCACTATGCAATATTACAGACGAACTAAGTTCCATATTGAATGGACCAATTACAGTAAGAGAGGTGGTGGAAGCAATTAAGATGGGTAATACTGGTAAAGCACCGGGGCCAGATGGCCTCCCAACAATCTATTACAAGTTGTTTAAAGAAGAGTTGTTAGTGCCCATGCAATAAAAAATGAATTCAATATTAAAAGAAAGGAAAATGCTAGATTCATGGAAAGATGCAAATATAACACTAATATCAAAGGAAGGCCAGGGCCCCAACCTGATCAAAAAAATTTGGCCAACCTCCCTCGCAAATATTTTGTAATAATTATTTAAAAACATCCCAGCACAAAGGCTGAAATTGGTACTAAAATAAATTATTCATGAAGATCAGTGTGGCTTTTTACCAAAAGGACAGTTAAAAGATAATGTTGGGATAGTGTTGAATATAATTGAATATTTTGAGAAACACAGTGAGAAACAGCCATGACCTTTCTGGATGCCAAGAAGGCCTTTGATAATCTGAATTGGGCCTTTTTGGTCAAGACTTTAGAAGAAATATGTTTTGGAGACCAAACTTATTCATAAAATGGGTGAGCTCAATAAACACTTCACAAAAAGCACAAATTATAGTCAATGATGAATTGACTAGTTAGGCTCTGTGAGATTGAAAAACAAGGATTGAAAAACAAAGATTCAAGAGCTGGACAATATAATCTTGACACTGGAGGAACCTTTAAATGGTATAAAGGTACTAATGGCCAAAATAAAAGAGTTTGGAGCATTGATCAAGTGTCATGTAATTGCTATTGTTTATAGCTGCTTTGTATATAAGAAGCCCAGGTTCAGCTTTACAATACGTTAGGTCTTTAACTCTTTTTACAAGCATGTTCTTTTGACAGACAATTCCTTTTCTCTTATAGGGACAGGTAGAGCAAATTGGGATGCAAATTTGAATGCAATATATGTTTGCACAGTGGCTGCTTTACTTTCGATAGTATGCACGCTTGCTGCTATACTATATTTCAAGAGGAGGCATGGTAAGAATTTCTCTCATTCTAGACAGAAAGTGGTGAGATTCTTCTACAAGCTTTCCTTTTACTTAGGCATTTAATCCATGTCTCTTTCCATACAGCAGAACAATCTTATAGGAGAAATATAGCTCAGTGGTTCAGGTCTCTGGCTGCGGAACTCGAGATTGGGAGTTCAATTCCCCACTGTGCCTCCTTGATAGGGGCTGGACTTGATGATCCATATAGTCCCTTCCAGCAATTATATGATTATTATTATTATCTAAGCACACTCACTTGTGGAGATTAGTGTTAAATGTTCATTTGAGGAACAGGCAAAAATGAGAGTCCTACGAAAAGGGGAATTTTCTTACTTGCTCTCCTCCTTCTTTGCTTCCTTTGTAAATTCCCCTTCCTCAGGGAGGACAGAAGGGGAAACATACAATCTTAACTGTCTTCTATGCTTCTTTAAGAGGTGAAGAATGGGAGAGATTGTAACTATCTGCTCAGATGTGACCCTCATTGTGTTCAGTGAGGTATACTGGATTGCCATGTAAGATCACCAGCTAAGGTGACAGAACACAAAAGGAGAAGATAAAATTTCTCAAACTTGCTGTTAGTATCAGATTGTGGAACCTCAGAGACAAACTTCTCTGTGTATGTGCACAGGCTTCCAGGAGAAAAGTGGAGACCTTGGCTTGGGTCCTGTCACCCCATCACATGTAACAAATAATCTTGCAGCAATACTGTATATACATAAAGCCTTTCCACTTACTGGCTGTGAGTGCAGGCAGAGGGTGGTGTGCCCATTGCAATATTTGTAAGCGGCAATAGCCTGGGCATCCTGTGATGAATCATGTAATGTTTCAGAAAGTCCGGTTCAAGGTTTTGCAGTATGATTGATAGAAAGTGGGAAGCTTTCCCACCTGTTGCCTTTTATATTCATTCTATGAAAAATAGGTCTTTTTAATATATTGTATATAGTTCCATACAGTGACTTGTATTTTATATCTTTTGAACGAAATCCAACAGTGCAAAAGCATTCTTTCGCTCAGGCTTCTATTTTGTTTTAACAGGTACAACCAAGAACTGGGATCTCTTGTATCCTAACATGAAACAAACACCCACTACAGTCCTTGTTGTATATTCCCAGGAAGTGTGTTTCCAGCATACTGTCCTTGGTTTTGCAGAATTTCTACATGAACGCTGCAAAAGTGATGTTATCATAGATGCATGGCAAAAACGGAGAATTGCTGAAATAGGACCTGTACAGTGGTTTGCTACTCAGAGAGAAATTGCTGATAAAATAATTTTTCTTAGCCCAGGCCCCGGTAGTGCTGCTTGTGATTCAACTTGTAAAAGAACTATAGAGTGTCATATGAAGGACTCTGAATGTATGTTCATGATTGCATTTAACCTCTTCTGCAGTGATCTGAAAAATCAATCTTCTCTCCACAAGTATATGGTTGTTTCTTTCAATGAAACAAATCTTGCTAAGAGTTTACCAAGTCCTTTGAACTGCTGCCCAAAGTATTTTCTAATGAAGGATATCGACTCCTTCTGTAGAGACCTCTACTTCTCACAGAATCTGAGGCGTGGCGAAGGAACAAACTCAAAGTGCAACTGGAGATTTAAGATGAATTTTAAATTATGATAATAGGGCTAAAGCATGAGACAATAAAATATATATACCAGGCCTCATATCCTGGCTCTGAAGGTGGTTTCCTTTTCTTGTTCCCCTCTACTCCTAAAAATGAATATTGGGGTGTTAACCCAGGTTCTTCTGGCAACGCAATGCCCAAATGGTAGAACTCTACCATATATGTATTGTATATATAAAATGTGGAAGAGTTCTTCCATTACATTAGGTCCCAGAAGAACCTGAAACACACACATATCCTGCGGAACTGGGAGAGTGTATGTATAGATCTCTCGCTCGCTCGCTCTGTGTGTGTGTGTCCATCTACACACATACACTGCCCCAGTTCCCACTGTGTGTTTCAGATTCTTCTGGGACCTCAGTGTCCAAATGGACACTTATCCAGGGTCCTCTATGGCACTGTTTGTCCTTACAGTAACTAAGAACCTTTTCCCACGCTGTTAGTAAGGCATTTCTGTTTGGCAGTGGCCAAGACAAGGGCACAAAACTGGGCACAAAAATGTGCACCTAAACTAGAGAATTCCTAAATTGGGAGGTTGCTTTTCCTCCTTACCCCATTTTGTGCTTCCAGGCCAAGACTTTTTATTCAGCTAAGTATTTTAACCTGTTCTACTTCAGTTTTTAGTGCCTGCTTTCAGAGTTGGTGTTTATCTCATTTTTTAACTGTATTTCCTATAATCTCTATTATTGGATTTTGGCTGTAAAAAGTGTTATATGCCATCCATTGTGCCACAGACACACTATATGAGAACTATAGAATCAAAGATAAATAATTAAATACAGCCACTAACTTCTTAAAGCAAACCAGGCTAATGTGTTCACAACCTGCATTCTTTCCGTTACTACACTTATGGTGTTGCATTTTTTTCCACATGAACATAACTGTGGCTTATGTGAACAGCAGCCAGGCTTTGAAAATTGGTCCTCTCTGGATGTAAAGATGTGAAACCAGTTTTTAAACTTAACTTTGTTTCAGCAAAACAATAAAGTGTCTTGTAGCAACTTAAATACTAAGACTTATTTTTACGTAAACTCGTTATGGATTGTAACTTAAAAAGAAAACATATATTAAGTTTAAAAATACCAAAGGAGTTCAAAAAATGGATATCAAAATGTTCATGAAAAAAATAGTTTTGGTTTTACTCAAATATAATTTGTTTCCACAGGAAAAAAATTTCTGGCATACTATGTTGTTTTCTTCCTCCTCACAAAAAAAAACCCCCTCCTCTAATCCCCAGAGGTGATGCCATCTTCAAGTTGAGTTTGATAAGCACTTAATCACACCTGTGCTCGATTAGACTCCTGCTACGGATTTCACTGAGACCACTCCAACACAGACAATTTGAGGGAAAGTTAAGAAAATTTCTGGTTCTATTATGTCCCATTTTTTAAAATACTTCTATAGAACCACAGTACTTTTTGTTTATTTTTATTTAAAAACTGATATCAGTTTTGGCTTGTTGAATGGGAAAAAGTTATATTCAGGATTCCATAACATTTCAGATCTCACTGGGTCACCATACAAAAGCAGCTCTTTCACGCAACATACGGACACCAAAACGTTGCCATTCTCTTTGATATATCCATAGTTCTTGTGTTGTATCCAGACAGGCTAAAACAGCACCCCCTTTCCAAGCAATCAAACGAGGATCCATGTCCTAAGATTAAAACAGAGATAGACATGAAAAAAATGACAATTTTCACTGAGAGCTCAGCTGAAACCACTGAAATGTATCATCAGTGTGCTATACCCCATTCTAAATAAAGACAACTCCCCCTCATTGGCCTTAGGTGGTAGGAGTTATGCTTGCTGATAGGCCTTAAATAATTAAATACTAGCTAGAACAGGCCATACAAAAAGTGTACAAATGCAGGAACTAGACTGCTACAAAACACAGATGCTAATTCTGTCTTTATATGCACTTTAGTAAAACATTAACCATGCCTATATATGTCACCTAAATTTAACCTCAGATGTTGATTCATTTGCTTTTCTTCCATTATGGAGGCATGCTACCATCTTTATGTTTACTTTAATACCATACCCATTTTAGAAATGAGTCTGAAGTTACTACAAATTGTTTGTAGTCTTTAAAAATCTTCTTTATAATATTAATAAACACAAACTTCCTCTGGTTGCCTCTTACTACTGGATTTCAGCCAGTGTCTTTTAAAACTTCATGAAAAGACAAATGACATCAGCTATTAGCTACTCTCCTTGCTCAAAGTTTCTAACACATGCTATTCACCATCAACTATATATACCAACATTGGTCAATACAGTGGTGCCTCGTATAACGAGTTTCAACTATATATACCAACATTGGTCAATATATTTAGCTTAATTTTACAATTAACTACCATTAAAAAGCATTTTTGTCTCTAGTGCAAAAATCAGTGTCTTGTATTTCATTAATGTTGTCTAGCCAATGTTATGTCTCTATTATATGGAAATATACACATAGCTACAAATAAGTACCTTTGGTCTTGTAATAACTTCTACGTTTTCAACAACTCTTCTGAAAGAAGGAGGCATTTTGTTGAGAATCCTGTGTTGAAGAAATTCTTGGGCTTTGTGAAACATCAGACCACCACCTACTACCAGGATTGAACTGTACATTTTCTTTTTTGTATCATCTGATGCTGGAAAAACACAAACACTAGAACTGTGTATGAATAGTAAAGAATGGATTTAAAACTTCCCTAGAATTATTTAAGAACATTGCTATAGAAGTTTTGTTTTTGAAACAAAAAAAGGGGGGAAAAACCCACCCAGAAATGTGGCAACTTTAAAACTAGCCCATTTATTTGAGCATGAGCTTTTACAGACTACAATAAACTTCAAACATGAAATATCTGAGTGACAGGCGTATGTTCTGCATATTCATGTGGTGATGGAACCAAGAAGAACGAGAATCAGAAAATGCCAAAAGCACACAGAATCAACAAATGGCTATTTCAAGACAAATTGGCAACTAGTAGATGAGTAAGTATAATGTAGAGCAGTGGTCCCCAACCTTTTCCGAACCATGAACACGGGGGGTCCGTGCGTGGGGGGGCGCGGCTTGCATGCATGGATGGATGGATAGCACGGCACGCATGCGCGCGTGGAGAGCACTCACGGGGCACGCATGTGCACATGGTGCACTCGTGGGGGCAGGGTGCACTTGTGGAGGGCGGGGCACCCATGTGGGTAGGTGGGCTGTGCATGCGTGGGAGTATGTGCATGCAGGGGTGGGTGGGAGATCTGTCTCCACGGCCCAGTCCTGCCAAGGGCATGGACTGGGGGTTGGGGACTCCTGTAGAGAACATTTGTTTACATATTGATGAAGCCTTCTTGCACTAGACCGAAGCACTCGAGTTAAAAAAAAGATGTATAGTTTTCTTACCACAGCAATCAATACTGTGCAGAATCGCTTTGTCGAGGCCTAAAGCTTTCCCTTCAAACTGGGAGATAGCCATTTTTCTGGACATATGACTTGTGAGTGGTTCTTCAGACTCGTTTCCCCCAATAATACAGTCGCCATGAAAAGGACCTAACTCCACTTCTGGGGGATACAGATTTTCGGCAACACTTGCAGACTGACCACGCAAATCTCCCTCAAATCCACCAGGCTTGGACATGGACTTTCGATCAGCTGTTGCCTTTGCCGACTTTGAAAACCCAAAACAACAATTATGTTCAGAGATCAAACTGTATTATACATGTAAAACCTATACTACAACTTGTTTTAAAAACCTGTGTTGAGCAACCATGCACATAAGACATGGGTGGGGGAAGAATGTAAACTTCCAGATACTATTGCTGGACACCAGTTCCCACCAGCTCTTAGCTAGGACAGCCAACAGCGAGGAATGCTGAGAGCTGCAGTCCAACAATTTCAGGAGGACCACTCCTGAGATTGAAAACACACATTCGTATCTCTGATGGGCTGGGGAGCTCACAACAACGTTGTTTGTGGCCTTCATTTCCCCACTACAAACCTATGCTGCACTAATAGCTATTAAGGCACAAAGGCCCCAGCGTGGAGTCTCCTATTTCCAGTGGCTCAGGAAGCATTAGCAATCGAGCTTTCCAAAAGAGGATGTCACTATAGCCACATTTGTACAAACTACTCTGTGTATCATCCAAACTGTACACACCTGCATGATCAGGGCAGAAGGGGAAAAATACCATGAACATTTCTTTACTTTTTAATTTACTTTTAAATACAGCTGTATCTTTCAAGTAATTAAAGGGACTTACATGGGGCACAAACAAGGTTCAAATGTAGAGTCATGAAGTAACTAAACCATTATCTTTAATATGGTTCTGAAAGGGTTAAAGAAACCCACCTTTTTGGGGAGCATGCGCACAAACACATACACACTCTATTCAGTTACAATGAGAAGTCTTAAAAAGCCTGGGATTCATGTTTTCCTCTCTATCTGTTCACACAATCTTTCCCTAGTACAGACGCAAGATCACGGATACTTCTGTTTTGGATTAGCCACAGTTTAGCATGCCACAATAATAATATTGAAACTGATTCATTTTACAGTGAGCTGGAACAACACTGCTTAATAAACTGTGGTCTGACATTGACATCTTTCAACTACTAGAAGATAAAACACAGTTGATTGCAAGCAAAGCTTTGGACTCCATGAGGCTACCCTGGAGAAGGCTGAAGGGGAAAGGTACCATCTTACTGCAAAGCACTCTCCGGTGGTACCAATTTATCATTAGAGCTGACAAGTTCAGCCCTCCATGTGAAACAGACCCATTTGTACAATCCCCCTAACAATTCTAATAATTCTCTGAAAAGGTAACTTTAATGACATCTATATGAAGGAAGAATCTCATGGGAAAGCAAAAGAAAAAGAAAAAACAACCCACACACCTGCTCCTGCTTACTTTGTGTGGCTAAAAGATAATGTTCATCATGTGGGTCCTCAGGATCACCCTGCGATCGCTGCTGCAACAATGTCATTTTCTGCCCCACAATCCCAAATGTTGCTGGATAAAATAGTGCCATTGGAGCCTAATCATGAGAGACGAGAAGAACTTCAAATTATTGCCAATGTCTCTTCTATAGTCCCACTCCATGCTGGCTTGCACTTACTTTATAATTAAAAAACAAGTTTGCATACTCAAATAAATATCTTGCATCAAGATATTTGACTGTTGCCAGCAGCACATGTAAACTGAAATAATATATATTAATATTATAACATACCAATACTAGGATACAGTAGATCTAGGATACAGCTGCCTAGAGTGGTCCTCACCCGACCAGATAGGCGGGATATAAATTATATATATATATATATATATATATAAAAATAAATAAATAAATAAATAAATAAATTTTACAGATTGAAATATTAAAGACAACACAAATAATTTGGTATTTGCATATCTGAAATATAATAATGTAGTTACGTTAGCTATGAAATACTCTAAATCCTTTGAAGTTTATAGCTATCAAATAAGATTATTAGATCTAGACTAGAGAGACTGCAGAAAGCCAGAGAACACCTTCCCCTTTCCTGCTGACTTTGGGGTATCTGTATCCCACTGAAATAAATGCAGCAGAGTCTTTTACCTGCAACTTTTCATCCCCTAAGCGTAACTGATATAACAAGGCTGGAGAATCTGGGTGACGAACTTGGAACTCATGATCTTTTAGTCCAGATAAATCCTGGTAACAAAACACAGAAGAGAAAATTCAAGTTGTACCAGTGCATCCTATGCATGTCTACTCAGAAAGGTAAGCATGAACATAGGACTGAAGCCTAAAGAGTTTCTAAATATCTCAAAATTAAACTATGAACAAAATCCCCTTATAATACAGTAGCTTTCTCATAATGCACCATCTTATAAACCCCCTAAATAAGCCTGGTTCTCGATCCCACCCCAGCTATATAAAAAACTGATCCCTCACAAAAATAGCCTTCGTTCACTTTAGAATGGGGGAATGAACACTATTATGTATCTCAGACTTTCCCATTATCTAGTAATTTAGAAAACCCCTGGCTTAAGAATAATATTCTACATGGCATCTACCACACCACTGTATTCCTCATAATGGCTAGCCTGTGTCCCTTTGAGTTGCCCTCATTACAATTTTCTGCATACTTCTGGGCGCAAGGGAAAACATAGTTGCGTTCCATCTCTCTCTACTTCTGGTAACTTCTGGACTTATAAACCTAATTTATTATTATTTATTGCACACCTAAAAAGGTCCAAGTTATCTTGGTTAAAACTGAGTGAGCAAGTGGCAAATGTGTAGCAAAAGGAGTGGTGCTGCTTACTTTACCTGATCTAAATGGCAAAATGTTTCTTTTAAGTGCTGGAGGAGAAGACAATCTGGTATTTGCATATCTGAAATATAATAATGTAGTTACGTTAGCTATGAAATACTCTAAATCCTTTGAAGTTTATAGCTATCAAATAAGATTATTAGGTTAGCTATGAAATAATCTAAATCCTTTCAAGTTTATAGCTATCAAATAAGATTATTAGATCTAGACTAGAGAGACTGCAGAAAGCCAGAGAACACCTTCCCCTTTCCTGCTGACTTTGGGGTATCTGTATCCCACTGAAATAAATGCAGCAGAGTCTTTTACCTGCAACTTTTCATCCCCTAAGCGTAACTGATATAACAAGGCTGGAGAATCTGGATGACGAACTTGGAACTCATGATCTTTTAATCCAGATAAATCCTGGTAACAAAACACAGAAGAGAACATTCAAGTTGTACCAGTGCATCCTATGCATGTCTACTCAGAAAGGTAAGCATGAACATAGGACTGAAGCCTAAAGAGTTTCTAAATCTCTCAAAATGAAATGATGAATAAATCCCCTTATAATACAGTAGCTTTCTCATAATGCACCATCTTATAAACCCCCTAAATAAGCCTGGTTCTCGATCCCACCCCAGCTATATAAAAAACTGATCCCTCACAAAAATAGCCTTCGTTCACTTTAGAATGGGGGAATGAACACTATTATGTATCTCAGACTTTCCCATTATCTAGTAATTTAGAAAACCCCTGGCTTAAGAATAATATTCTACATGGCATCTACCACACCACTGTATTCCTCATAATGGCTAGCCTGTGTCCCTTTGAGTTGCCCTCATTACAATTTTCTGCATACTTCTGGGCGCAAGGGAAAACATAGTTGCGTTCCATCTCTCTCTACTTCTGGTAACTTCTGGACTTATAAACCTAATTTATTATTATTTATTGCACACCTAAAAAGGTCCAAGTTATCTTGGTTAAAACTGAGTGAGCAAGTGGCAAATGTGTAGCAAAAGGAGTGGTGCTGGTTACTTTACCTGATCTAAATGGCAAAATGTTTCTTTTAAGTGCTGGAGGAGAAGACAATCTGTCTTTTTAGCCAGCTGGCAGTCTCTGTAAGGAAATCCAGCGCGCTGCATAAGCCAATAGAAACACCTTGCTACATCAGAACCTCCATAGGCAAGGCGTAACCTACGACAAAATTAAGAAGCCGTTACAGAAACACTTCTCTTTGGTGTTGAAACAGAAAATTTAAAGAATTTAGAAATAAATGACATCATCTATTCCTGCTCCCATCATATCTTTGACCCAGTACTGAGTCTTGTGAGATCAGTGCGCAAACACTTCACTGCATGCTCTGATTTCTTGAATCACAAACGCAAGGTTGCAGCACCAGTATTTCTGCTCCCATCATATCCTTGACCCAGTACTGAGTCTTGTGAGATTGGTGCGCAAGCAATTCACTGCATGCTCTGATCTCTTGAATCACAAACGCAAGGTTGCAGCACGTGTTCAAGAAAGTAGTTAGTGTTGAGTTCTGTTAAGAGGGTCTGCTTAGCATATCACCTTTTGGCACAGAATGACTCCCCTTCTTATTGGGGAATGCTAAAATACTATTTCCCGCTTTATGATAGCTACCTGGTGTTACGATGCGAGACACCATCTTCAACACAGCAGACACTTGTCTTCTGGTCTCCCACATCAACAACACAAGCACTACTTAGGCCACTTCCAAACGTAGCACAAACAGACTCCTGATGTACCACTATTCCTGAAAACAAAATGGCAGGAAGGTTACTGTACATACTGAGATGCCACTAATTTGTCCAGACCCATTTTTCATGTGTAAAATATTTCTTACAGTGGTTCCTCCTTTATAAAACACTGAATATGAGTTTAATAGAAAGCATTTTGTAGAAAAGGAGAAAAAATATGTTTATGATTGCCTAAGCATCTGTAAGTAAGTCCACTGGTGGCATGACATTAAGTTTAAAATTACAACTTCTATACTTAATCTTGAAGTGTTTCAGAATTCAATAGCTAAGTTTACGGCTGCCTAAGCATTTGTAAGTAAGTTCACTGGTGGCATGACATTAAGTTTAAAATTACAACTTCTATACTTAATCTTGAAGTGTTTCAGAATTCAATAGCTAACCAAAAGATTTATTAGCCTTGATTGCCCACTGTAACCATATCTCACATTTTTCTCCATGTACGTATGAAGCAACACATCACTTTTGTACAAAAACTGAACCATACAGGAGATAGTCTCCTACTGTGAAATCCCACACAGCTGTATGTGAACATATGTAGCAATCGGGGGTGGGTGGGTTAGTGGCCTTCAGATAATAATAAAATGGATTACTATTATTATTGAGTCCATTTCTATGCAACGTCCTATATCTCAAGATAAATACCGCAGCCACATTAACACAGAATAATTGGGAATAACTGCCCATATGATTTGGTGTCTACAAAGAAAGCCAAAACAGAAGCAGCAGAAATATTAACACAGAATAATTGGGAATATGATTTGGTGTCTGCAAAGAAAGCCAAAACAGAAGCAGCAGAAATTTGCAAAGACCTAGCATACATTGTTACCATTAAGCCAAAAAACTCCCTTATCTACATACTTCAATTCACAGTACTGTTTCCCCATGCAAAATGGACGGGCCTCAACTGATCACATAAGACTGCAAGCCAGCAATCAACTGCAATGAAGAATAAGAGAAGAAACACTTGCTTCCTTCAGCAGCCGTGTGTAGCAGTTATTAAGAGGCTGCTGGAGTTACTTTACTTAAAGTCTCTGGACCTCAGTAGTGTTACATTGAGAATAAACAATCCATATCCCTAATTAACAAGCCTGAACGTAACCTTTGTCTGAAACTAGAGAACACCTGTGAAGTTATTATAATGTACACACATGCATGTGTGTATGTTATAATGTATATAAGTACATAAGAAGGCTGGGGGCAAGAAAGGACTGACGCAAAAGCAAAGCCATAAAATAATGTAAATAGTGCAGCTCTTTCCTTGGCCATTATACATGCTCCACAGTATTAATTACATAACAGCTCAGTCTTTGGCATAGATTGATTTATCATCTACTTAATACACAGGTGGCTGCAAGGTCAACAAGAGTCACTTAAAAAAAATTAAAATCCATGTCCACAAATGTGGGCGAACACAGTCAGTTTTATTACCTGAGAAGCCCATCTTCATCAGGATCATATTTACTATTTCTTTCACGTGTTGCTTATTATAGATGTCTGGAATTAGTAAAATGCACCTGTAATACTGAAAAAGAGAAGAGGGAAATGAGCAAACTGAATTACTCAGGAAAATGAATCATGGGTGAAGAATTAATACCAATGTTTTTTATTTTAAATACTTCAGTTCTGGGCACCAGCAAATGTAACATAGTTAGTTTTCAGCTTTGTTAGACTACATTTTCTCCTCAGTGTTCCAGCACTCCATCGAATAAATGTAGTAAGGACAAAACCCTTAATTTGCTCTATTCCTCTCACTCCACATTCTGCTTCTACTGTGAATGCTCTTGTACACCTTCCAAATATCAAAGCGGAGTTCACTGAACTCTTTCATTTATGTCCTACAGCACCTGAACTGCTTTCTTTTTTAATTTTCAGAGCATCCAATATCCCAACACCTAAAAATTTTAGTCATACTTAGGCCATTTCTCATTTAAAGCGCTAACATGTCTTCTTTGCTAGCTTCCGACCTTGCAATACCTTCCTCTTTCAGCTAATAAAGAACATGTTTGTTAAACTCAATTCTCATTTTATGAGTTTCAGTCTGTGCCACACTCTTCATATTTATTTTAAATGCTGTAAAGGGCAGTAGATGACCTGGGGACAGTGGACATTTATGGAAGAAAGTGCTAGCTCACAACAAATGATGTCAGTGGTCAAACTCTGTTGTAGAACCAAAGACTGGATCACCATCATATTCTACTGACAACTCACCTTCAAGTCCTTCAGAGGTATTTCTAAATACTTCTGTATTGCGTATGACCATATAACTTCAAGATCAGCTAGGACTGCAGTCAGAGAGCCACCAGGCCCTGGGTGAAGGTTCAACTGTCCTCGTCGAATAGGCCAATGAATATTGTAACAGTCCAAAGGGTTGACATACAGTGCCTAGAAAGAATACTTAAATATCACATCATCATGACACTTGTTTACATTTTCCTGCTGCTTTTACTTTGGATTCACTATGTAAAGTTTAGTTTTACCCCCTGCTGCTGTTTTATTATGGACAGTTTCATTCCCAAGAGCTTTTAAAATTATTCTGTATTTTTAATTTACCTATGAAACATTTTAAAAAAAGGTTATTGGGAGACTGCAAGTGTCAACAAATAAATAAAATAAATTCCTTCAAGGAATCATGAACATGCAGAATTTTCCTACACTCTAGAGAGATATGGGAGGAAAAGGAAAAGTTTCATTCCTACCTCTTCTCCTATGACATATTCTGGATGGTGGGCAGTGTTTGTCCATTTTGTCCCGGAGCTGTGATCTAAGATAGCAGGTCTCATCTGTCTATTATAAGACCGGGCCTGAAATGCAAAGTCAAACAAACAAACAAAAGGTAACATACTGGCATGTTTGAAAAACAATCCTATCAAAGTCTTTTCTACTTTATGCATTTCTTTACCTTATGTACTGTTCCAATTTATGCACAGCTAAATACGAGTAAATGTTTCTAGTGTTATATTAAGTTTATCACACCAAAAACAGCAGGGTCTATTAAGAAACTGAACAGGATAAAATCAAGGGCTTGTTTACCTACACATATTCTGACATTATCATATCTCATCATGATGTCTCTGCATGACTCACTCAGACCAAATTTGAACATAGGCGGGAAAATAACCAGATACAAATCAGGTGTCAGCCAGAAACCTACTGGCGATTTAGCTGTACACAAATAGATTCATGGAAACCGCATGGTTTTCGTCTAGCACCATTCAATAACTAGCGTGTTTAACTGGCTTTTGTTTCATCCATTATGTTTGTAATTGTTTCAGTATTTGTGTTGTTAAATCATTTGAGTCCCTCTAATGTAGAAGTTTAAAAAGTAAGTAATTATCCAGTAGGATTCTGGACACCGTTCCTGCTCTACATCACTGCTTCTTCCCCGTGCATTAGTAGGTTCAAAAGGAATGTCCTTTTCCCTTGACAGTCATTCATGTAGTCACTGAAACTGATGGAAGGGAAAATGGAAAACCGTCTGCTTCCAGTCTGGCTGGCACAAATCCAGTGGAAGTAGGAAAATAATGAATTTCTTTGCCATGGATTCTCTATAACCTTCCCTTTAGGATCACTCTGTCCATTCACTCATCTTTAATGTGCCACTAGCCTGCTTCTATTAATTAAAACTCAATTTCTATGAATCACAAGATATAGACGGGATACCTGATCAGGAGAGACGGGAATACGTCTTGCACCATTTGACATCTTTTTGGACCATATCGCTTGGTCAACCATTTTAAGACCATTTTGTCTTTGTTCAGTACTTTCAGGTTTCTAAAAAGCAAACCAACATTAGCTTTCCTCTAACACAAAACCATCTATTTCAAGTACACAGTGCTAATTCAGTAAAATATACATAGAGAAAATATATTAGTATACGTATTCTGCAAAAAAAAGCAAAATGAAATTGTATAAAGAGCTATGAACTCTTATAAGTGGCTTTTCTCATTACCTTTAATTATTATTTCTAGGTATCCATGAGATAATAAATGTCTTGGACATAAGACTGCAGATATCTCAGGAGATAAAATGTTCATTCCTTCAAATATACACACATACACACATTTTAAATTACTCACAAATACCTGTTGCCTAGCTGTGACACTTCAAATGGCTTTAATGAGTACATGACCCACAGCATACATTGGTCAGCCATAATATTTAAACCATAAGGGTCCCCCTTGTGCTGCCAAAACAGTTCTGAAGCATCAAGGCATGGACTCCAGAAGACCTCTCAACATGTCCCCAAGACATTAGCAGTAGATCCTTTAAGTCCTGCAAGCTGCAAAGTGGGGCCTCCATGGACTGGATTTGGTGTTCCAGCACATCCCATAGATACTCAGTTGGATTTTGATCTGGGGAATTTGGCCCGAACACATGCGACTATAGTGACCAGGAGATGTTGTGCAATCCAAACATAATACATGACAGATATCCATATGGCTAGGCACATTTAGAATTCCAGGAAAAACAAACCAATACGCTTCTTATGAGCAACTCTTGATTCAATATAATACATAAATGGAGAAAACTTACATTCAGGCCTTCTCTTAGAAGCCAGCTGTCTTTGTAGGTAGGTTGTCCTTGCTGTTTGTGTCTTCTTGCAATAATATGAGGAATGCTCACCGGAAGTGTGTCTGTAGCTCTTCCAAGCCTTAATGTCATTGAGCCAGGGTGTATCACAACAATGAAGTTGCTCTGTATTTGCTAAAATCAAATGAAATCAAACAATCTAATCTACGGAAGTATAATCAATGAGCCTTCACTTTGCTTTGAAAACCTACCTCCTCTTGCAATACAGTATTAGGAATTAAAGTACAACAATTTTGCCTCCAGTTACCATGAGCTAAATACAAAAAACAAACAAAATATCCTAGCATTTTAGTAACACAAGGGGCAAAAACGTATTTCACAAAACCAGAAGTGAACCAGTAGAGAAATACGCAATGTTTCTAGCGCTTTCCTTGAAGACACGACTCACTGGAGAAGACAATACTGTAATGTTAGGAAAAGTTGAAGCAGGTTGGAAAAGAGGGACACCTAACATGAGATGGATTAGCTTAACAAATGCTTTCCTTGAAGACACGACTCACTGGAAAAGACAATAATGTTAGGAAAAGTTGAACCTAACATGAGATGGATTAGCTTAACAAAGGAAGCCCCTCAGGTTTGCAAGACTTGAGCTGTTAATGTCAAGCCCTTTTAGGAATCACTATTTCACAGGGCGACCATGAGCCAGAAGTACAGTAACTAAATAACTGGAAGGCAGCCCGCCCCTAAGGGTGCCCCGGTCCTTTTCCCACAGGGGTTGTGCCGCCGGCACACCTGACCTGAGCAGGGAAACCGGGGCAAAGCCTCACCCTCTGCCTCCCCGATTCAGCCGACCGAGCCCTTAGGGCAACCGCGCGGCGGCCCAACGCTGCGCCACCCCGAGGGGCGACGGGAGCCCTCCCAGGCGTCGTCTCCGCGACGGGGGTCGCTTGTCCCAGCTCCTGCCAACCTAGCAGTTCAAAAGCATGCAAATGCAAGTAGATACGATGGGCCGCTTGGTGCCCCGCTGCTCCTTCTCCTTGTCGCGCTCTTTGTCCTTGCCATTCTCTGCCGCCGCCGCCTCCCCCTTCTCCGCTTGAGTCATGGCCGCCCGCCTCTGCGCCCCGCCGCCCCTCGGCGGCTCATTCAGGCCCCGAGGGAGAGGCTTCCGAAGTACTGAGGTGGAAGGGGAGAGCGGGCCGGGGCGGTCGGTCGGCGGCTCCTCCTCCCCGAAAAGGCCGGGACAAACGCGGCGCCCCGCCTCCTGCCTGCTTGGCCGCGCCTTTCGCTACGGCTTTTCTTTGGCGGCCGCCGGGCTCTCCCGAGGGCGAAAGAGGATGATTTGCCCCGGCGGAGGGAAAGCTGGAGGAAAGTGTACAGTACTTTTAATGGTGCGCTGGGCTTGACTGAGTAACAGAGCAATAACTCCATCTGTTACTGACAGGGCTTTTTGGAGTTTATCCGTAGAGTTGCCTTAATCATCATCACAACTACCATCTTAGAACTGCAGAGCTATATGGGTCACCTAGGGATCATCAAGTTCAGGAGGCACAGTGGGGAATCGAACTACAGTACTGTACCAACTTCTGGTTCCACAACCCGGTATCTAAGCCACTGAGCAATTAAGGCAGAAGCAACTTGACCATATATATATATTTTTAAAAAATCAATTTTATTTCTCTATACACACAGAATTCTCAGAGGGATATAGCCCTGTTGGATACCTAGTGTGGTGTAATGGATTGACAGACTATCGCTATAAGTCATTTCCAACATGACAGCACGTAACAGCCCTGTTGGGTAGATGCAGCAGAACACTCAAGTTATGTGGGGCTTTTTAGCCTAAGATTTATAAAAGCGAGAGAAACATGGACCACTTCCTCAAATACATGCAGCTGGTTTTTCTCCTTCAGATGCGTTTAATATACATCTGTAACCCACTCACCCCAATTATACTCGCCATTTGAAGAAGTAGACTGTATGTCTGCAAAACCCGTATTATAATAAATCAGATCAAGTGGTTTGAAAGGTGCCACGGAACTCCTTGTTGCATCAATATAAAAGACTTGCAACCACAGAGCTTAATGTCTTAGTGTTGTTTACAATGTCTAGCAGCCACTGGTGCAGTTCTTCGTTGGCCATCAAATTCTCAAAGAAAGTGTGCAGCTGTGTTGCTCTGGATCTACAAATTTCTAACAGTTCTCTTCTCCAGGAGGAACAGGCCTTTTAATTGCCCATTCAAGCCTAAGGTATCTCCAAATATTTTGCATAGTTCAGAACAATATACTGAAGTTAGAAAAAAAAAGGTGTCCTCTGTCCCTCCGAGAATTCTAGCTAGGTTGAAAGGGAAAAGGGAAATTTTAAAAGGTTGATATTATCCCATTGCTTCCATCCTGGAAGAGCAGCTTAGAATTTGATAATTGGAACAACAGTGTACCATGAATGAATACAATTTCTCAACAAAAGTACATGTGTATTTTAGTTTTATGTCTGTTTTCATGGGGGGAGGGCAAAGCACAACACTTGATGCAGTTGATAATGTGGAATTGGATTTATTTAACAACCTATTAACTTTTATGGTCCCGTAAGATGTAGTGGGGTTTTTTGTGACAAATATAGAAACTACTGTATCTTGTGGAAGGAATTCTATAAAATGCTGAAGTTTCTTATCCAGGGGATATAGTGTCAAAACTCTACTGCTGTGAAAGCAGCTTGAATCAATTAGGTTAAATCATTATTACTTGCGGGGCTACAAAACACAGAGTATCATTAACTGACACTAGTAAGATATGAGAAAGAACAATTATTACATCTGTACTCTGTTTTGCATCAATTCGTTCTCTAATTTATGGATGTCAAAGTAATTGTATTTATGTCTTTGTGTCCATGATTCCTCAACCTGTAAAATACTTTCCTTTTTTAAATAAAAAGATTTGAAGTCTGTATTTTGCAAAGTCATATACATATTTTATAATTTTACAGCTACAACAAAATATTCACAAGCTATACAAAAAAAGCTTAAAACAGACAGTAAACAAGTGCAATAGATTTAATAGAACTGCATTTCAGTTACACTGGATCCTAGAAAAAGGAATTCCCAGCACAACTTCATTGATCTGCTAATCCACAGAGCAGTGAATATACATTTAGACAACACATTCACAACCCTCAACTCCAATCAGTCCATTCCTCAGTTTTTCAGTCTTGCAAATGTGTATGTCCAGTTGCCTGCCTTTTAAGCAGGCATTTACCTGAGGGGGGGAAAACATTAATTAGATGTTTGGCTTTCATCATGATTGCTTTGAGTGTCTACAGTCCAAATAATTTGTTCCAATAAATAAAATGATCATTAAATATGTTTTTCCCTCCCTTCTGATAATCCCTACTTTTGAGACTCGTCTTTTTTCTAAAGCAGTTTGCAATATGAAGTATTACCACTGCTACCTTCTGGCAGAGGTAAAGAAAACTTAGGTTTCTAAGTAACGAATGAAGTACCCTTGCAGTAAAATATCAGTTTTGGCATTTCTTTTCAATAAATGTTACTAAATATACATATTTTTTATTTATTAAAATATTTTTACCACACCTTTCTCCTTTAAAAAGGACCCCAGGTGGCTTACATCATTAAGAAAAACATTTAAAGTAGATATACATATACAACCCAAAGTATACTTCATGTTACCTATGCTTCTCTGAAAAGTTGGAATCCCACCACTTTTGTAATCAGAGGGAGGAATCCAGATTCCCAGGGCTGGGCAACATCTTCATTGGGTTTTCTACAACCTTTCTTCAGGTTAAGTAACATGAAAAGTAGTAAATTGCAGGAGAAGTAAAAAGCTTTAAAAGTTATGCTAGATGTGGTGGCTGTGAGGTCTGCCTTTAGATTCATTCTCAAAATCCTCAGAGTTTACAGACCATAAATACTGCACTCCCAAGCAAACTACACCAGAGCACAGAGTGCTGTCCTCTGAAGATGCCGGCCACAGAGAGCAGGTAGTTGCAGGTAAAGGACTGATATGCTTCATAATAAAGCGTAGACATAGCTGAACTATATTCTGATAAAAGGAACAGCTCTATGAGCTAAGCCCAGTTACCAGCTGAAGTAGTGGGGGTTTAACTACCATCAGCCTGATAGTGGGAATGAACTGTATGTGATTAAATATGGTAAAGTTCATACCAAAGAAGACAAAGGTGCTAATGGTGTGCGGTATAAGGCATGGTCATACCTCTTTTCAGAGGGCAAATTCATAGTATGGGAATGCTTTTTGGCTTCGCATTTGAGGGTGCACTGGTGATAGTGTTGGCAGAGATGCTGGCGGTGGAAGATGTTGTTTTAGATTCTGGTGGAACCCATTTGCAGATAGAAAGGATTTGGTTACTTGCTTTCAAATTCAAATAAAATTTATTGTCATTGTAAGTATATACATAGTATACTCATACAACGAAATTCACACAGACAGCCAGAGACCAGACCGACATGCACACACACACACACAAAAATCCCCAAACACTCCCCACCCACTAAAAATCCCCCACTAAGAATACAAACATCCACAACATGTGGCTTCTTATCTCTCAGTCTATTCTATCAAAGCTTAACCTTCAATAGCCTGGGGTACTACACATCTTGATTAACACAATTATTAAAAAATGGGAATACTGTACCTGTATTTCAATTCTGATATCTTTTCAGTAATATAAGCTTATTTTCTGTAGTGTACACTTTTGTTTCCTGAATAAAATGCAAGCATTAGATGAAACCCCCTCTCACCTGGCCTATAACTATTTAACCTTTTGTTCTATTTTTGGTAGCAACTAAACTCAATGGATAAGTCTTCAGCCAAACTAAACTTGGAATTTTAATAGTACTGTATGTCTAAAGTTCACACAATGGCACGTTACCTTCCTCATCCACCTCCTGCCATTGGTGGGGGACTTGGACCACCAAAGTGATTTATTCGACCCATTCTGCGACGAGGAAATCCTGGAGGTCTAAAAGGAATAAAGTAGAGATAAAAGACCCCCAATAAATCTTTTCTTCATATGTGCTTCATAATCAGACAAAACCCACAGTAAATTCTTCCTATTTTTCTAATTCAACTTGCCTAGTCAGTGAACAACATAATGAATTCTTTTAAAATGTTTTATAACACCAAAAAGAAATTCTTTGTTCCCATTAGTAAAATACAAATAGATGTCAGGTAAAAATTATTTCAGATATATTTTCCAAGAAGAAAGAGTCCAATATCCCTTTAACTCCAATCCCTTAGCTAATCTCAGAGCTAGAGGTTTCTAGAATTCCATTAACAGAAAACAGCCTTGATTTAAAACTGAAAATGATAATATTAGGAACAATATATTAGAAGAGACTTTTTCAGAACATATTTAAAGATAAATATTTAGATCAAAAGAGGCACTTTACTATACAGTGGAAGAGAACTCTAGCCAGTTAAACCTGAAGCAAAAGCATTTTCAGTTATTCAGCGACATCTGGAGGATTCAAACAACTCTGGAGTAAACATTGGGTAGTTCACGGATGGTCCCTGCAGGTAGGTGTTGCATTTGGCAGGATCCAACAGTAAGCCATTCCAAAATAGAGAACTTCCACCATGAAGCAAGGCTTGCACACATAGGCCTCACTCCTGAGATCTGTCTGCTGTGGAATAGGCAGATAAGACTAGTTCTAGGACATATTTCTACAGATATTTCCATAACCAGGTCTAAACAGATAGTGAAGGTTCAATTGAAAGCTCAGGCCTTGCTATTGCTCTCCACCAATGTATAAAAAACTATGCTTTGGGTCTTGATGTGAACTCAATTTAAATGCCTTTTATTTCATATACCACAACTTATTTACAAATATATAGAAACACAACTTATTTATAAGTACATATACAATAGTATAACTTTCAGCTGAGCTGCAGGATTTCTCACAACGTGTACCATCTAGAATAAAGTGAAAATGCTATACCCTCTTCCATCGTCATATCTTGAAGAGGAGGAAGATGAGTAGCCTCTCCTCAAATCTGGGTGAATAATGCTTTGAAAACTAAAATAAAAAGGAGACAAGATTTTTGTTACATTCAGTGCCAGCCTCCCATGCCACAAGGCTTTCACCACTGTTAAAATATTACACAAAATTCAGAAATCTTGTGCCAATGTATTAACAATGTATTTTATTATGTGCCATTGTATTTTGAACTATGCTCTGGCATAGTTCAAAAATAGTACATTATGATGATACTGTAGTGCTTCTGCAAAACATCTGATGTCTTTACTTCTGAATTACAGATTTTTAAAAATTACCCAACTTTTGTGTCAACTGAAAATGAAGAGAAACCATTCAAATTCAAAACCACTCTTATTTTAAATTACATGGCCAGAATGTTAGTTATGCCTGTAAGCTTACTGTAAACACTGCAATCTTTGCAAGAAAATTGGCTCACATTAAGAAAGCATTATTTGTTGTGTACTGTGTCATGTGACTTGGTATTCAACAGATAACAGCTAAAACTCTCTTGAGTAGCTACATGGCCATAATACAGCATTACGCCCACGGTAACCGAAATTGATCCAAGGCAGACTGCTACCCACACATTACACTGTTGATTGAAACAGGAAACACAACCAAGTGTGCAACTGACTTGCTTAGTCTTTCTCCGAAGGGCAAAATACCAAGCACATTTACAATGCTGTAATATTGTATTACACCTCAACAAAGAGGATTCTGACCAACATCTTCACAGCTGTTTTAACTAGAGGCAATTCAGTTCCAAATGTTGCACTACTTGCATTATGCTTTCATAAAGTCCCAATAGGATTAGGGCTTATATGACAATTAAAGAATTTTCAAAATATTTTCAGGATGCTCCCATGCAGAATTCAGATATTCAGTGGAGAATTCAGATATAAGTCCTGCTTATGGAATTGGGAAACTCATTTTAATATCCTTAGTATTGATGCCTAAGATTAACTCATGACCCAACAGCTTAAAATATTACTGAAGATTGTTAAATCAAATGTTCTATCCTGAAGCTATTTCATCAAGTCTATGCAGAATGCAAGTTCCATGTATTTACCCAAATATATCTGGTTTGGTTTTCTTTACATATAGATGTTACTACATATACTGTGATATGTTATTGGATGGAACACTCATTTTCCTATTTGATTTCCTTTTGCAGATATCTCAGACACCTTTACAAAATGTTTTTACTTTTTATCAGTTTTATTAAATAGTGTAATTTCATTTTCTGGATTTGCAGAAGCTTGAAACAATCAGCTTGTGACTGTCAACAAATTCAAATGTTGCTTCAAATGCATGTTGTTTCTCAAAATGAGTTTCAAGAGCTGGATCTATAAAACCCCAAAGGAATTTTGTCAATATGGTTAATTGGTTGTTGGTTCATCTCCCTATGTATTTATCCTGCAGGGCTAGATGGGCCTCAGGTGGACCTTGGAGCAAACCATAAAAATCAACATTTTAATTAGACCAACGGCTCTACTTACAACATAACTATGAAGTCTGCTATTCCCCAAAAAAAGTCAGTTATCGATGACAAACTCCAAGGAGCCCGGCTCCGGCTATCCAACACTTGTCCTATCACATACAGGAAAAAAATCATGAACATCACTTCAAAGCAGGAAATAGACAGTTATATGAATGATGAAATAGTAATGTTCAAATATAGCCATTTTACTAGTTAAAATATGGTGCATATAATTTCCCACTGTTGAACAAGAAAACAGAATTAAAACATCATTGGAAACAAGGCATATCAGGATAAGTAAGAATAAATTGTACTGAATACAAGCTGTCAGCATCCAAGTACTGTAACTATTTTAGGCACAATCAGAAGCTTGGGTGCCTGAGGTTTTGACTTTGTCTAGGAGGACCCAGTGTCATGATGCATCAAATGTGGTTTGCGACACAGCACAAGGAATTGCTGTTTAAAAAATGCCAAAGCTGTCTTTGGTACCTGGCATACCCTTGTAGCACTTGAGCTCCAGGCTAGGAAACACACTTCAATAACTGTTGCACTTCCTTAGCATTTACAATTAGAAGTAACATTCTCCCTGACTTTATTCACCTGAATTGTTGTAAACTACAAGATATGAGTAAGATATTCCAATTCTAGGTTATTTAGAAATTTACTTCAAGTTGCCATTCCAATATACTCCAAATGAGAACTCATTAAAACACATTTTCCTAATATTGCTGGTTTTGCTTCCAGCTGCTCTGCTTCCAGCACTGAGCCCAATGGCTTATTTGGATTACTGCCAGTATAATGTTATACATTGACCCCACATTTACCGCTTCCCTGAAAATAAGACCTAACCTGAATATAAGCCCTAGTATGATTTTTCAGGATGCTAGTAATATAAACCCTTCTCCAAAAACAAGCCCCAGTTAAGTGAAACCCCGCCCTCCACCATTGTGCACGAACCAGAAGATAGCATAACTGTAAAATAAAACATCCCCTGAAACGAACCAGAAGAAGATAGCAGAACTGTAAAATAAAACATCCCCTGAAAATAAGCCCTAATGTGTTTTTGGAGCAAAAATTAATATAATACCCCATCTTATTTTTGGGGAAACGCGGTATTTGGGGTATCAGACGCACAGATTCCGTGCACCCAATTGCTGACAATTTTTTCTTGAGAAACTTCTGTACAACTTGGTGTAAAATATGTTTATCAGAAGTTATTCAGAGCTGAAGAATACTCAATCCCAAATAAAACATTTGGATGACTGCAGCTTTGTGCCACTGTACTGTACAGTACTTTTTTGCTGCTTTAAACTGATTCAGCTACTTTAGAGGAATCAACAGAAGTACCTGACAGTGTAAGTCACCTGCACACAGTATTTGATTTCTAGCTTTTCTATTGCTAACCAAACATCATCCAAAAAAACTTTTTAAGCAGATCAGTAGCAGGAGCATAGGGGTGGGCACTAATGGTAACTTACTTCACCATTCAAAATGTACAGAGAATAAATGCACCTATCCTGCATGATGCAATCATGGCTTTCAGAGTTAACATACACCAGATAAACCAAATGAGTAACTGAATACTTGTGGCTAGAAATGTAGCTTTATCCTATGCATGTGTTCTCAAAGCTCAGGATGACCGATTGAAGAAAACTGTACAACTGCAAACCCCCTGAAAACTACGTTGACTTGACATCATAACTTGATGCAAGCCCTGCATCGGCAAGGGCAGGGGTTTCCAAACGGCTCGTCCCCTCCTTCCCTCCCATAGGAAGCCAGTCGTACGCCACGCAGCGAGGCACTCTCAGCGTCTCTCCGGACAGCTGCCTCAAAAGGGCTGCCTCGGAAAGATTCGGTTCTGGGTTACTTACCCTTCTCGCCCTTTTCGCTTCGTTAAAGGCGGGCTATCCAGGGCAAGCGATTCACCCAGGCCTTTTCAGGGCTACCACCGATCCACCCTAAACCCCGCCACACACAAACCCAGCGCCCTCCTCCGCCTTTTCGCTCCACGTTTACAGATGCTGTCGGGACACCGGCCCCACCACAATAACAACAGCCACGTTCCGCCCAGTCAGTTCGGACTTGGGGGCCACCCTTTTCTAGGTAGGGAACACTCAGAAGCGCCTTCCCACGCCCGGCCTTCTGAGGGACGCCCCGGGAGCTGTTGCAAGCCTGCCCAAGGCCACCGCACCCAAGG